AATAGAATTGTAATAGAGATGCTGACAGCCTTAGGTGATTTCGACATTAACAAAATTATATAAATAATATATGAAATATAAGACAGTAGTGATATAATAGAAAACCTTACCAGATCCATTTTCGTAACTCTGCTTAAGAAGCCCGCTGCTAATAAATGTAAGCTCCAACAGACAATCAGCATAATGTGATGACGTTTTCAGCTTGTCCGTCACTGCACAACCTGATGACATCCAAGGTCGGTTGTATGTGTATACACCCAGCTAAATATGTTCACAGGATTGTCCAATTGTCCGTTATCGAATTCAACAGAGAATAATGGCAAATGCTTTTCAAGTCTCTCTGAGAAATAGCATAATACCATTTCTCACTAAACCGCCAATCTTTTCCTTCGGCTTAGATGGTTGAATGCTATCTTCCTAACTACTCGCTGGTTCCTTCCTCACTGGCCGCTGAGCACTTACTTACTGGCCGCTGGCCACCTACTTACTTACTGGTCACTTACTGACTTCCTGCCTCTCTTTGCTGATATGGATACTGGCTGAGGTCCGACCACCCCTATCCGTCCTTTTGTGTTCCGGAACAAGAGACCACCCATTCGGCTTTTTGGGTGGTCAGCTTCTTCAATGGATTACTTTTATGATTATCTAAAATCATTGACAAACGTTTATGTTTGCCAATTCAAAGGCGGGCTGGAGACAGATATCTTGAAAACTCTGACACTTGTTGACTCACAGATGGACTGGAGACGAATTTCCTAAGAAACTCAGATAATGCAGACGACACTATCATTTACTCCTGTCTCAATAATAAATCCGGCGGCACTGACTAAGTTAACCTGGCCGCTGCTCTTGAAAAGGATATCCAATCAGTGGTTAACCGGGGTAGTAAATGGCTTGGAAACTTTAATGTCTCCAAAAGTAAACTGTTCTCATTTAACCGCCACAGAGAAGCCTTCATGCCCCTATCAACATGAGAGTGTCTCACTGTGCTTTCTTAGCCTCACATTTTCCAATGACCTGAAGTGGAACAACTACATTGAATCAATAGCTGCATCTTCTGCAAGGAAAGTCGGTTCACTGTGTCGTGCCAAAAGGTTTCCCTCGTCAGATTCCATCTTACACATCTTCAAATCTACCATTCGTCCATGCAGTGAGTATTGTTGCCATATCTGGTCTGGTGCCCGTGCTGGTCATCTCGAGGTTTTCGACAAAATCCAAAGAAGGATCTGCAATGTAATCGGTCCTGACTTGACCTTTCGACTTCAGTCACTTTCTCACAGACTTGATGTGGCTTCCCTCTGTCTTTTCTATAAATATTTTCATGGCATGAATTGAAGCGTGCTACTAGATTGGCATCTAGGTCCCACCCTTTTACGGTTGAAATATTTAAATCTAACCGCCATTTCTACTCCAGCAGTTTCTTCTCTCGTACTTCCCGACATTGAAGTTCCCTTCCTCTTACTTGCTTCCCTGATAACTACAATCTTCAAAAATTTAAATGCAACGTCAATCGTCATCTTCTGTTGTCATGTTCCCTGTTCTTCTTTCATCCTTTCCTCAATCCTCTCTATACGCAGTCTTTTCCCTCACTTTCACTCTCTGTAGCTCCCTCCATGTTAGTGGCTCCCCCGCCTTGCTTGGGATGAAACGCTTAAACATTTAAGCGGACATAAAAGGAAAAAGAATTTATCTATTTATCTTCTAAGTATGTGCGAGAAATCGGATTGTTACACTAATTATTCGCATAACGAAACTTATAATCTGTGTGAATAGAGCGCGTAGTAAAATTATACCGTAAATAGGCCAATAACTGCGGTTTTGTTAAAGACACCAAGACAAGGAATGCAATATTTATGATCAGAATTATATAAGAAAGAGCAATAACAAATGCAGAAGGATGTCTACCTATGTTTTGTAGATTACACAAAAGCGTTTAACAAAGTAGGACATAAAGAACTGTTTGAACTGCCAGGTGAGCTTGATTTATTTGGAAAAGTCATTAGAATAATCCCGAACATATACTGGAAGCCAACTGCCTGCATATAGAAAGTAAAATGAATTCATTAAATATGCAAAAATAGAAAGGGGCATAAGACAAAGATGTGCCTTTTTACCAGACTTTACAGTTAGGCTATCCTGAGAGAATTCTTGGCAAAGTAGGATATGCAGATGAAGTTTCTTTTTATGTGCCGTGTCCCTTCAGGACGTAGGCGATCATGGCTCTCCACTTCCCCATATCCCTTGTATCTCTCAATAAGTTTTGTCCCTTTCTACCTCTCCCAGGCCATGTTCTGTCATCCACTTGCTTAAGCCCGCTAGGTATGTCATGTGTTGCTTCCTCTTATCCCTCTTTGCCTCTATTCAACCTGTGAGTATCAGATTCTCCAAGCCGTTCTTTCTCATTACGTGTCCCTGAAGTTTCAGCTGCCTCTTCCTGATGTTAAGTATAAGCTTCCTCCTTGTTTGCGTCCTCTCCAATGATATCCTCAGCATCCTTCTGTAGAACCATACCTCTGCCACATCGAGTCTCTTCTTCACCTTTGAGGAGACCGTCCTACATTCGCTGCCGTAAAGGAGGACAGATGTCACGTAGCAGCTCAGTATTTTTTCTTTGTTACCAAAGAAATCCTTCTGTCTCGTAATACTCTGTCTAGATTTTGGAATGCGTCTTTGGCCATCCCAATGTGTCTTCGTATCTCAGAGTGTTAATAGTAGTCATAGTAAGGAAACTACAGGAACTCTTAGCGGATGTAGTAAAGGAAAGAGAGAAGAAAGGACTAAGCATCAATTGCAAGAATACATAATAAATGATTGTCAGCAAAAATGAAGAGCCCAAGATGTCAACTATGAATCAGAGACATCAAAATTAAGCAAATTTTTTAAAAATTGAATAATTACATAGTGTTTTGACAGAGAATAGAAAATGCTACAGAGAAATCCGAAGGTTCATTTGAATATCGAAAGATGTCTTCCGAAATCTAAGCAAATTATTTAGGAAAAGAAAAATTGCGTTAGAAACAAAGAAAAGAGTTCTGAGCTGTTATTTAATGTTGGTGAATGCTGGACTATCTCCTCACAGAGGAAGAAGAAGCTTGAAACCAGAGAATTAGAGTTCTGCAGAAGGATGCTGAGAATAGCATGGACTGAACACGTGATCAACGAGGAAGCTTTAGACGAAATGGAAACAAAAAGGACACTTATACTTAGAATCAGAAAGAGAGAGCTAAGCCGGATAATAAGAAAAAAGGGTTTGGAGAATTTGACACTCACAGGGCATAAAGAGGCAAGAAGAAGAAGAAGAGAAGAAAGCAGCGAATAACCTAAGAAGCTTGTGTAAATGGTTAGCAGAGCAAGGATTAGGAGAGATAGGAAGAAATACAAATATTACTTAAAGCTACAAAGGATAGGAAGTTGTGGAGAGGTATGATCGCTCAAATCTTGAAGAGGCACGGGGCATAAAAGAAGAAGAAGCAATGCATTTTTATAATAAAAGCCACCATAGAATAATTGTACTTGTCCCTCTTTTCGTTTGTTTGCACGACCGTTACGCCCTGCCAAAACCTCATAAATAATGGACTATTCCGTTTTTGATCGCGTGAAAAGAGGGGAAAAGGTACTACTTGGTTTCAATGAGAAAATGAATGAAAGAAAGAAAAAATGAAAGAAGGAGGCGAAGACAGCAGTATTTAATGTCTCTTGAAAATATCTCATAAATAATGGACTGTTCCGTTTTTGATTGCGTGACCAAAAGGGAAAAACATTACTTGGTTTCAGTGAGTAAACGAAAGAAAGAAAGAAAGAAAGAAAGAAAGAAAGAAAGAAAGAAAGAAAGAGATGAAGCTAACAGTATAAATAATGGACTATTCTGTTTTTGATCCCGTAGATAGAGTGGGAAACACACTACTTAGTTTCAATGAGAAAAAGAAAGAAAGAAAGAAAGAACAAAAAAGTGAAGAAAGCATTATAAATAATGGATTATTCCATTTTTGATCCCGTAGAAAGAGAGGAACCGACACTACTTGGTTTCAATGAGTAAAAGAAAGAAAGAAAGAAAGGAAAAATAAAGAAAGAAAGAAAAAAGAAAGAAAGAAAGAAAGAAAGAAAGGAAAAAGAAGGGACAATAGAAGTGTTTAACGTCTGTTTCAGTGAAATACAAAAAGTTATCAATTTCAAATCTTTTCATTTCTACCCGCTTACTTCTTAAAATAACAACTAGCCTCCATATTTATGATTGTTATTGCAATATTTTGTTAAAATTGTTAAGCTCAAATATTTAACAAATAATTTCCACTGATATTTTATTGTCGTGAAACTTGCCATGAGCTTATTCAATCATCAGCTGAAGAATTAAGATTCATCATAGATTGCAAATAAAAAAACCGTGAAATTTTCCCCGGTCTTTTCTAGTTAGCAATAATAATGTCTTATTGTAAAAATCATTTGCTATGAATGTTTATGATAAATGTCCTTGCAAGTGAATTCAATCGATGCCCGGATAAAATACCTGTGTTGTTTTCATTTCCAGGAATCAGGTATTGATTATGGGCCTCATCAATGCCCGCCAGCACAAAAAATTGGTTCCAGGTAGAATACCGGATTTTACGGTCGGCATTAATGGATTCATTTTGTCTACTTTGTGTTGCGTTTATTGCTTTTCTTTTGAGTGTTCTTGTTTAACTGAAATTCCCATGTTTCTAACAATGACAGGAACAGCTGTGACAACTTGTATCGCAGGACTGTCTTTCTGATTCTATTGTTGTTTGAACAGAGATGATGTTTTGTGTGAACAGAGCAAAACACGGAAGAATATCTGCAGAGGCGAATGCATTTTAGAATGTACGGTGAAGCGAGGTGATATGAGGTCCGTCACAAAACGTTCAGTCATATAATAGTAACAAAAATAGCCTACCTAGGGCATTTGCGCCTTAGTTCCCTTCTAAATACTTCCACTGAAGTCTTGTCTTAGTGGTTTCACGTTAAAAAACAAAACAAAAAAAAAACGGTTCTTGTACGATCACCAAAGTTAAGCAACGTTGAGCCAGGTCAGTACCTAGATGGGTGACCTCTTGGAAATAACAAGTGCCGTAAACCTGGGTATGCGGGTGGTGGAATGGATTACGGACATATGACCTTGAAACACCGGTTCTCGTACGATCACCGAAGTTAAGCAACGTCGAGCCTGGTCAGTATTTAGATGGGTGACCTCTTGGAAATAACAAGTGCCGTAAACGTGGATATGCGGGTTGTGTAATGGATCCCGGACATATGACTTGAAACACCGGTTCTTGTACGATCACCAAAGTTAAGCAACGTCGAACTTGGTGTCTACATAGATGGGTGATCTCTTGGGAACACCACGTACTTTAAGCTTAAATATGCGGGTAGTGTAATCGATTGTGCCCATATGACGTTGAATACTAGTTCTTGCATGATCACCGAAGTTAAGCCATGTTGAGTCTGGTCTGTACTAGATGGGTGACACTGTGCGAATACCAGGTGTCATAAGTTTGAATATGCAATGGTGTAAGTGATAACGGCTCGGAATTTGAAATCTGAGTGGTGAGTTCCAAATCTAGTCAGCTTCACTGACGCGCAATTACCCTTGCGAAAGGTATGAATCCACCTCTTCTCTTCACCCCCCCCCCAACTTTGGGTTAATTATTCGGATTTGTATCATTATTATCTACAAAAATTCATACAATCTAAAAATATTCCCTGGCTTTAAATAACCTGCAAAAGGTTGATAATCCGTAAAAAAGAATATTAATCAATCTTGTCCTAGTGACCATTGCAATTTTCAAACCGTTTGTGAAGTTCTCTTTCGCAATTGCCCCAAGCTACCTCAACATGTTCTACTTAATCTCGTCCATGATCTGTTCACCCAATACAGAGGACCTCCAGGCAGAGTTATACTGATTGAGATTAATGCATGGACGTACGAGGAGGAGCGAACAAGTGCAGAGGATATGTAGGAAAGATAACGGTTAACACAAAAGAGGGTTAAAATTGTAGCGATCTGGAAAGCATCCCCTCGGGAGTCTCTTCCACAAAATAAGGGTTCTTAGGAAGAAGCTCTCCGAATTAAACATTCTTTTTACCAATGGAAAGCAAAGGGAATGATTTGTCTCAATCTACGTGGCATGGCGAGTCCTAGCTGTAAAGGTCTGAACTGGAGGAACTAATGTTGCATTTTCCAGGGAAACAACGATCGACTACCGCGATGCTTTGGGATGCTTCGTCTGTGGCAAAGGGGTTTAAGTGTGGAAAGTACTTAATCCCCAGCAAGGCCGCCTGAGCGCTTTTGAAATGTCAATATTGGAAAAATAAGTTTAGACTAGCTCCAGTCCAGATATGACAGCAACAGGTGATTTTTTTTTTTTTTTAGCCTGAACTGATTCTTGTAAAAATAGAATATGGTAGATGGCCGGAAGTCGTCTCTAGCGACCAACTGTGGGATAGGACCAGACAAGCCTTAATCGAGAGTGACATCAAAAAACAGAAATAGGGATGGATCGGCTATACACTCCGCAAGCCTGCTTCTACTGTCACCAGGCAGGCAGGCAGGCAGGCAGGCAGGCAGGCCCTTGACTGGAATCCACAAGAGAAGCGAAAAGTGGGTCGACCAGTCTTGGCGCAAAAGTGTTGACGCAGAGATGAAGGCAGTCGGCACGATATGGGCCGAGCTGAAGAGGATCGCCCAGAGCCGTGTCCGTTGGAAAGGTGTTGTTGCAACCCTATGTCCCTCAAGGAATCAAGAGGCTTAAAGAAGAAGAGGGGTCAGGTACTTTTTGGAGCTGTTCAACAGCAATTTTTGTTTTGGGAAAATATCAGAAGCAAGTCGCCAAAAATACGTAGAAACAATGACCTTAAAGACCGAAGTAAGGTTTTCTCCCTAAAACCATGAAGAAATGAAAGGAAACAGTAAAGAAACTCACTCAACGGTATTTCACAGCCAACTGACTGGTAAAGGGTAAAATTAGTCATTTCCTATCTGTCTATATCTCTGAGATTAGAGTATTATGATTACTTGCATTATTTATATTATTTACAATATGCAATAATAATAACAGAAAAAAATTACCATATGAGCACTGGTAAAAACGTTTGCTGAGGCTTTAAGTTCATAAGTCACAAAAATTCATGTCCTCAAGAACACATGGCCCAATGGTAAAGGCGTTGGTTTAATCCAAACTAGACCCAAAGATTTTTGAGTTCAATAAAAGGCCCAAAACTTGGAGAATTGAATTAAAGGGAAATAACTGAAACATCCGCAAGAGGCATGACATGTGGAACTAGAAAAATATATCCCGGTGAACGAGATAAAGGGTTCAGGTTGAAATTCCAATCACCTGAAACGGCAATATGTTAATAAGAGTAACAGTCCGAGTAATGTAAATAATGCAAGTAGTTGTTTCTTTTTACGGAGACATTCGACATTCATTGACTGTGTTGCTGTTGGGTTTCAGGAAAATAGGTTTCTCAATTCCAGTAGCTGTTATAGCTCTTCCCAGTATTGATAGGCGTTTCCTTCCTAACCTTTTGTTTAAAGTAGTGTGGAACATCGACATCTCTATATCATTGTTTTCTTTTCGATATACATACGCTATTCATTTAGCTCGGATTTTTGAAAATAGATAGTACTCTAGCGTCTGCCTCTAATGACAAGTGAGCTTTAACTGCGCCACGCCGTGTGTTACATCCCATCATTGGGTCAGGAGAGTAGTGGGAGAGGGGGCGGCAAAAGAAAGAAGTTACCAACTGGGAATTATGAGTACTTCAAAAATGTTGTGGTTAAGAAAACACTCCATGTGACTAACACAGCGTTAAACATTCTTAACCCAAAACAGGTTTCCCATATGCATATGTACCTTTATGCATATGTACCTTTATGCATATGTACCTTTATGCATATACAATCTAAGGCTCTATACAGTCTTCCCACATGGGATATGTTCGCTTAAAATTCCTGACCAAATATTGTCTTCCTACATGTAAAGTCTTTACATTTCGTTCAACTTTCTGAGTCAACACGGTCTTCCCCCATGGGAAATAATCGCATATCCCATTAAAGCCACTAAGACACAAGGTGTTACTGAGTGTGGGAGAATATAAGAAAATAGAAAAAACATTATTAAGTTGCGAAAACAATAGAAGAGTAGTCAAGAAGACAGTAGATAACGATTGATATTGCATTTAAATGTTTGAAGATTAAAGTTGGCCGGAAAACTTGGAGCCGGAAGAATGTTCCACAAGCGAGAAGTGCGAAAGAAGAAACTGTCAGCATAGAACTTACGGTTACATCGAGCCAATTCAATCGATGAGACCTTGTTGCTAATCTAGCACTGCGCTGAAATTCATAAAGTCTAGGTACCATAGCGAAGAGATCATCCGAACAATTACCACGAAAGTATTTATAGAGAAGGCACAGGGATGCCAGGTCAGGACCAATAATATTGCTGATTCTTCTTTGGATTTAATCAAGAATCTTTAAATATATAGCAGGAGCACTGGACTATATGTTACAGCAATATTCAAAGCATGGACGAATGGTAGACTTATAGATATATAAGATAGTTTCTGAGGAGGAAAATTGTCTAACACGACACAGTGAACCAACTTTTTTAGCAGCTGACCTAGCAATGGATTCAATATAGTCTTTCCACTTCATGTCAGCAGAGAATGTTGGCTCAAGATGGCGCAACTTTCCTGGAGGTTAGCATCAGCCATGCTGATAGAAAGCATAAAGGAGTCTCTCAGTTTATGGGAAAAGATGTACATGAACAATTATGCATCCTGATTCTACATGGTCTTGCCACATGTTACTTTAAACCTCCTGACTTATATATTCTTTTTTCGCCTCCTCCTCCTCCTCCTCATTCCTTTTTTTCATTCGTTTTTTTTCAATATCCATTATGGTCTTCATTTGCTTTCTTCTTCACTTTCTCAATCTCTATTTTCTTCTTTCTACTCTTCCTTACCCTCTTTTCCTCATTCACTTTTTCTTTCTCATCTTCTTCCCCCCTCTCCCACCATTTTATCATCTAACTTCCCCTTAGCCTCCTTATATGTTTTTTCGTCTTCCTTTTTACCCTACTCTCCTCTCCTTTATTCTCACCCTTATTAACATTTTCTTTCTCGTACCTCCTCTCCTCCCACTCAATGTTTTTCTTATTCTCTAACTTCTCCTCATCATTTTTATTCTTCTCTTTCTCATTGTCTTCTCTTCCCTTGTTCTCCTCCTCATTAACATTTTTCTTTCTCCTCTTCTTCCTACTCCACCTGCCTTTCTTAACATCTAACTTTTAATATTTTTTCTTCTCATTAACATTTTTTGCTCTCATCTTGCTCCTCCTCCTTTTTATTACCATCTATCTCCTCCCCTTAACGTTTCTCCTCCTCCTTTTCACTTTGTCTACTCCACTTCATTCCCCCCTCACACTGTCTCCTGTTTCTTTTTGACATCCTCTTACTTCTCCTTTTATGAAAATAGAGACCCAATTGTTGCTGTTAATGGTGGAATGTTTTCGTCTGTTGTTAAGATTGGAAGAAATCCCAGAAATGTTATTTCCTGCCGTTTTTTCTATGGTGACCTGTAAAAGGCAGACACAGAATTTTCTAAAAATAAAAGAATGTCGAAAACTAATTCAGTGATATTTTTCTTTCGTTTTCTACTTGCTGTGGAATTCTTGCTTCTTTCAAACTCTTTCCTTCATTCTTTTTGTCTCCATTTCATCCATTTTAGTTTTTCTTTGTATTGCGATAATACAATAAGCAATAAATATCAGGTGTTTCATTTGACAGAATTGAATCATGTTTTTTAATCATTAGATACAAAATTAAAATTTCATTTTCTTTTCTTCTTTCTCTTTCATGGCTTCATTGTTGTTCTTTTTCTTTCTCTTTCATGCCTTTAAAGTTCACTTCTTCTTTCTCTTCCACTCCTTTTATTGTTCTTTTCTTTTTCTTTCTCTTTTATGCCTTCATTGTTCGCTTATTCTTCTTTCTTTTCGACCTCTTTATTGTTCTTTTCTTCTTCTTTCTCTAACACTACTTTTTTCCTCTTCCTTATAATTTTTGTACCTTTTTCTTTTATCTTTTCTTTCTTCTTCCCCCCCCCTTATGCTTTGCTCCTTTTTCTCCTTTCTTCTTTTACCTCTTCTTTTCCTACTTTCTTCTTCTTCTTTTGACTTTATCATTTTCTTTCATTTTTACCTCTCGTTTCTTTCC